TAAAAACAAACAAACAAATGAAACCCAATCCTTTTTGTTGTGCTTGGACATGAAATCAAAGTTAAAATCAAGTCCAGGTTCCTTCATTTGTAACACTCCATGCCCCACCATCCCACATTAACCTGTCAGTTCTCCTAGTGGCAGATGGGGAATAGACCATGGCCTCCAAACTCCTTTTTCTTAAAAGCAGAAATGGAGAACGTTGTTCGTAGGAGAGCACTGTCTGAAGTTTACCTAATAATGATATTATACAGTAACTCTTATTGGGCACCACACTAAGTGCTTTACATGAATTATTTACTCATCCTCATTAAAGCAGTATGAGATAGGTACTGTTGTCCCCATTTTACAGTCGAGGAAAACTAGCTCAAAGAGATTAAGTACCTTGTTCAGAATCACATAGCTGGTTAGTTTCTGGGCCAGGATTTAAGCCTAGTTCTGTCTAAGAGCCCATGCTCTAATCCACAGTGTCATAGTGCTGGGAATTGAGAATATTTAAATCCAACTTTTTTTTCTTCTTACCAAATTTTTCTTTCCTCAAAATGAACTGAGTGGGGACTGATAGGCAGAGAGGAATGCCCCACTCAAAGCACTGAGCCCCAGCCCCTAGAACAGCAGATCTTTTTCTTACTGTGCTCCACACACTCCCCCCACCCCCAGTTCCCCTTGTAAAATACTGTTCATTATTGATTTTTAGGTATAAATAATCCTAGGGCCTTAGCTGGCTTTTGCTTGTACATTCTATAAAGTAAAATATGAACATGGTTTTTGTGGCAGGAAACAGGAAATAGTTTCCATTTTTCCACCTAATTATACAAGTTTGATAATTGGCCAAACTGGTAAGAAAAGCTCAGAAAAGAATTTACAGAGGACAAATTGCCAATAGGTGTACATTTGTCTAGGACAAAGTTCTAGTCAGTGTTAATAAGCATGTTAGTGTCATATTTTTTCCCTACCCTCTCAGTGCTATTCATTCCCACCCCCCACAATGAATGCTGTATGTATTCATAGAGGAAAAAACTGAAGGGCCCCATAACAATGATCGGAACATCAAACCAGCCTGAGAGAACACAGCATGTCCAGGGGGCCGAGGCTGAAGGGCAGGCCATCCCCTGCGATTACATTCGGATTACCGGCTTAATCTGCTTTGGTATTTGACCGCCAGCCTAACCACCCCCGGCTGCATTTGGAGGATATTGAGCACTTTCATCCCCAAGCACTTCACTGGCTTTATAAATGACCCACTCGATTCCCTTCAGCCTCCTCAGGGATGGGTCGTGGCAGCTGTTTAATAGCCACATAGCCATGTTGCAGTGTTTTAGGGCAGAAAAGCAGAATCCTGCATCCAGTTTAAGCTGCAGGGAGTATTTAGGAAAGGGGAATGTAATTATCCATGCTGGAAGTGGGCCAGGGCTTGGAGCTTTGGGGAAAGAGCCCTTTAGGACCTCTACTTTCCAGCCCACCTGAAAGATGGGGCCTCCTTTCAGCGGTCTGGGACATCAGCCTGTTTCCTGCTGACTTAGGAAAAAGCCCCCAGGCGCTGCCTCCTTCATATATTCCCCTCAGACCCTTTGCAAGGTCATTGAGAGTCCAAGGACTGGCCCTGGCTCAGCCGGGAACATATGACAGAATCCCGGGGAGCTGCCTTGCACACACCAGTTTGGGTATAACATATAATCAAATCAGAGTGACAGCAGGTGGAAGCAGTCTTCTGTTGCCGCAGGAGCTGTCCTTGAGTTCAGGAACAAAGACAGGGACAAGAAAGACAAGACAGTATATATTTGCACATGTGTGTTCATGCCCACATGCATAGGAAAAATAAGTATTTCACCAAAATCATGTATTGGATCTTTCTTTATTTTGGTGGCTGGCATGTGGATCCAAACCCATGACCTTGATGTTATAAGGCTGCCCTCTGAACAACTGAGCTAACCGGCCAGACCTGTATCTTAACTCTTGAGGGAATGAGAAGGGAAACTTTCTTCTGCATTCTAACAAAGAATTTAATTTCCAAGGTGTGCAAAAAAAAAAAAAAAAAAAAAAAAAAAAAGGTGAAGCAGTTAAGGGTGCCAAGTTCCTATGACCTGAGTGGCTTTTAAAGTCAGAAGAAAGGAAACCAGCAGCCGACTTTCTTCCTTCTTCGAGTACTTCTTGGGAAAGTTTCTGTGGAAAACCCAACATTCCTTGGACTAAAAGAGTGGTTGGAAATTCCTGGGGTGGTTTTGCCTCTCTGGGCCACACACCTCAGGACACACAGTTTTACAAGGCCCATGACTACAGGGACACCTCACTCATCCAGCCCCAGGTAATTAGATGTTCCTCATAATTTACTTTTTCAGATAATCAAACCTTAACCTGTAGAGGCCAAAATGTAAAAAAGAGATAGAGCTACTTAGAAAAAAATAGAAACCTTTCTAAATATTATATGTATTTACTGAACTTAATTTAGCCTTTTGTTAATGATTCAAAATCTAGATTTGGAGTTAGGAGACCTGAATTTTAGCTGTGCTTTTGCAGGTTAGTTTGTCTCTCTGAGCCTCAATAATTCTTCATATTCTGTCCCCTGAAGAATAGTGGCAAGGGTTAAGGGAGAGCAGGCAGGGAAGAAATGCTATTTCTCATTTTAAAAATATAGGCATTGGTGGGCCGGCCCGGTGGTGCACTGCTACAGTGCGCCGCTTGGGAAGTGCAGCGGCGCTCCCGCCGAGGGTTCGGATCCCACATACAGACCGGCTGCTCACTGGCTGAGCGAGGTGCGGGGGCAACACCGAGGGTTGCGATCCCGTTGCCGGTCCCGGTCCGGTACGGGCGCGACACTGAGGGTTGCGATCCATTGCCGGTCACAAAACAAGAGACAAAAGGAAAAAAATATATATATAGGTATTGGACTGATGCTTTTTATCAGCACCGCACTCTCCCGAGTGAGCCACGGGCCGGCCCGACTGATGCTTTTTAAAGGAACTTCCACTTTTAAAATCTGTGATGATTGTGTTCTGTTATACAGTGATACCATTGGGGTCTAAGGGTGCTTGTTTGCCCTCGCACTAAATGGTAGTGCTTGTGTAGTTCTGACACTGCCCTCCGATGTGAGCTGTCCCCTGATACTGTTGTCAATATGCCTAGGAAAAAAGTAATTTTCTGCTTTATTCTATACATAGTATTTTATACATAGATTGAGAATCTAGGAATGATCTTTCCTATAATGTAGAGTAGGGTACGTGGATCTTGTCACAATAAGCTGCTGCTCAGAGGCATTTGTCACTTCTGAGTTTGCAACTGTGACAGAGGCCCCCAGATGGCTGGTTTCCAGATAAGTGAGGTATTTCAGTGAAGTAGATTTGGATATACTCCTGTTGGATATACTCCTGGTCACAGTCCACTCACTTAAGAAAGGATTTGTGAGAGAAAAAGAAGTTGCCTATAAAGCATATTTCTGAGTTTTATTCTTCCTTATTAATTTTCATTATAAACTTGGAAATGTGTTTCTAGGGAGAATTTTTGGCCCTAAGATGTAATAAAATCACACTGCAGAAGGCAGCAGACCTTATAAAAGCACATATTCAAGGGAAAATTCTAATTTTACTGCATACTTTTGTGTTCAGCTTACGTGCCTTATTGATAGCAGTGAGGGTGTTTGGGTTTGGCACAGCTGCTCAAAGGTCTAAAGCCATGTGCTTGCCCGCTGCTGGAAATCAGATTGTAGCTATCATGTCCCCACCCGGGAAAAGGAGCAAACAAGCAGAAACAACTGCAGCAGGATCCCATGTACTTTTTGAATTGTTTAGCTTCCTACAACAGCTACAGAAGGTTGCTGGTCTTCAGCAGTGACTGGGCTGCTTCGGCTAGAGGACACCCAGAGATGGTAGCCCCAGTGATTCCAAATGCAGCAGGAAAGGACAAGGGGGTTCTGGCTCAGAAAAGGTCCCCCTGCAATGATGGACTGCACACTGTCAGCCACTGAGGTGGCTGAGGGGGCTTCCTGAAAATCCCGGCAGGGATTCCCAGGTAATGACCATTGAACAAGTTTCTTGACTTATAGTTTCCATAATATATGTGCCTTACTTAAAAAAAAATCTTATGCAAACATCTCAGTGGTAAAACAAGGTAAAATAGAGATGATTATTTGCATTATAAAAGGATGATTCCATTTTACAAAATTCACATTAGATCTATAAATAGTGCATTTAAAATATGATGTGTACCTAAGATTTTCTTTAAATACAGCTTCTAGTTTTGGGGTTTTTTTAAGACCAGATATACCTGAAATGAGTGAATTTCTATATTTAGACTTTCTGAATCGAGACAAACCTGCCCAACAGCTTTCACCTTCCTAATTCATTTTTCCTTTGCACATTTCTTAGAGGGAATAAGTGCATCTCACCTCCCTTTTTGGGGTCCAAATTTTCCCCATTACTAGAAATTACCCTTTTCCTTGCATCTTCTCCTTGCTTGAAAGCCACACCTGAGGGTTTCTTAACTCCACTTGGCTCCTCAGAGCTTCATTCCCATTTCTTATGTCTGCACATCCATGAGATAGGCTTTACAGGTTGTCTAATATTGAAATGTTCTACTGAGATCTCAGAGGTTGTGAGGTCCCTGTTCAGATGAACAAAGTTCAGTGTAAGGCCCAAAGCTCCCCCCCGCCTTTTTTTTTTCTTTTCCTTTTTGTCTTTTTTCATGTCCAGCAACGGATCACAACCCTCAGTGTCGCGCCTGGACCGGACCGGGACCGGCAACGGGATCGCAACCCTTGGTGTTGCTCCCACAACTCGCTCAGCCAGTGAGCGGGAACCAGTCTATATGTGGAATCCGAACCCTCGGCGGGAGCACCACCGCACTCCCAAGTGGCGCACTGTAGCAGTGCGCCACCGGGCCGGCCCCCAAAGCTCCCCCTTTTATCCTGCTCCAGTTACCTAATATGATGTCAGAAAATTCAGCAGAAAAGACAGACCCTTTATTCCCTATAATCCCATTGCTTGCTTCTCTGCTTCTCTCCCCAGTGAGAAAGTGGCGTATGAAAAGTACCCTGGGAGGCTTGGGGCCATGGCAGCTTGAAGTGGGAGAGCCAGCACCCCCAGGAGGAGGGAGCCTGGGGCCTGAACTCATCAAGGAAAGCAATGCCAATGTATGTCTACCTGTCCAGGTGTCTTGTGGGGTCTGAGGTAGGGGTGGGCTGCTGACCCTTGAGGGCAGGGACAATGTCTTCTTCACTTCCTCATCTCCAGTGTGCCCATCTGGACACAACACTCTATAAGTGTTAGGCTGAATGAATATGCAAAGCATTTTGGCTTGGTCATCCCAGGGTGAGGGCTTTAGGCTTGGAATGTCACAGCTATAGCATTATCAGAGGGGACCTGTGGAGGAGGGCTAAGAGTCTCCCACTGTGGCCGTGGGTAGAGCTCTGAAGAGGGTGGGAGCCATCCTTTCCCATCCTTTCCCAAGAACAGCCCTTGAGTTTGATTTGCCTTCTGTAGCCTATCTTCATGCGTAAGGACACCAAGATGAGTTTCCAGTGGCGGATTCGAAACCTCCCCTATCCTAAGGATGTCTATAGTGTCTGCGTGGACCACGAGGAGCGCTGCATCATTGTCAGGACGACCAACAAAAAGTGAGTAGTGTGGCTGGCACCTGTCTGCTTGTGTATGAGCAGCATATAGGGTGGGATTTGATCTGGGGATAGGTCTCAGACTGTTCCTTACCCCAGAAGGCAGAGAAGCCTCCCTCTAACTCTGAGGGAGGAAGGAAGGCAGAGCTATTCAGGAGGCACTGAAAGTGGAAGGGCTTCCTCTCTGCAGGACCAGCATGAATAATGTAATCAGCTCCATCAGGGTCAGGAAACTTGAACAAGAGTCTAGTACAGTACCTGGCACATACCAGGGCTCATACACATTTGTTGAATAAATGAGGGGATGAGGAAATCACATGGCCACTAACTTGTTATCTCAGATGGTTCTGCTGTGAGGTTATTATGACCTTGACCTCCTGGTGGATCCAGTCCATGGTGAACTTGGACTGGAGACATCACTGTCAGAACTGGCAGGGAGCCAGGGCCTGAAAGGCACGCCTGTCTGAGGTGGCAGTTACAGGACTTTAAAGTACTGGACTGGGCAGCAATAAACCTAATTCCCCCCTTGAATGAGTGACATGAGCAGGTGCTTTTGTTTCTTGGAAGTCTCTTGCATTATGTTTCAAATGGGATAATCAACTTCCCTTGTGGTCTGCTAGGGGGGAGGCAAACTGTCAGGGTTGAAAGGACAGAAGGTGGCTGAGGTGCAATTCCATCATGGGTTTTAGAGCTCTGACTGATCACAAGAGAAGAAAAGAGCCCTGTTTGAGCCTGAAGACAATAACCCTGAAACAAATTGGTTTTGACCTGGGCCAGAGGGATTATAGTATAGGGCCAGCTCCCATGAAATAGACTTGGGTACTGAGATTGGAGGTTTTATGAGTTACCTGTCCACAAGCTGTGAAGCCACCCAACATGCCTCATGGGGTGCAAAGCCTAACCCATAGGTACTACCACCCAGCCACTTCTTTACATGCAGTAAGGAGGACCCAGCCCCTCACACAGTGTGGTGCGAGTCTCCCCTTCCATCTCCATCAAATCCATGAGGCCCGCAGGGAGGCTCCCAGGTTTCCCCAGTGCAGCCCTGGGTTCTGCCCTCCTGTTATGACCACTATACCCCATCACTTTGGCAGGGTTAAGGGGACAGGGGTAGAGATGAATGAATTAATTTTAGGATTATTGCTGTACATGCAGCCAGCAGCCCCTGCCGTGGACCTCGTCTTTATAAAGTCATAGTAATAAGGGTTTGCGTTTATAAAGCACTCTGAAGCCCTCAGATAAAAGGCAGTTTATTCCAGTTACTGTTAACATCATTAACAGGAGTCAGTGCCTAAAGTGGAATTTAGCAATTTCAGACAACAGAGAAATTGCCTGTAGGAAAACAAACCCCATACTTCAGCAAGCATTCCCTGGTGTAAGATGCCCAGGGTCCAAACTGGGAACAAAAGTGCTTCTGATAGCACTTGAATCTGCAGCCTAGCACTTTGTGGAGCTGGCTGCTGCCTCCTTTTTGTCCCCCAGAGGTCACTGTCGAATACAGATATCAGGCAGAAATGTGATTACTAGGGAGTGAGAGAAGAGAGACTAGCTAGCTCACCAAAAAATTCATCTGCGGACAGATCCTCTGGGTCCCATCTCCTGCGTGCATCCAGCCATAGGTGGCGCTGTTGGCCAGGAACTCCATGGCTAGAGACCCACTCCCGTGTGGTGTCAGCAGAGGAAGGTACATTTTTGAAATGATGGGTGAGACCAGATGGGATAGGAGTGATGCTCCCAGAGGGGCAGGACTAGGGGCTGGATTCCCAAAGAGGAGAGAAAAGTGTTTCAGGGCCCATTTTGGAGCCCACACTGAGCCTCAGGTCCTACGTCCCAGCCTGGCTCAGGCCCACCCTCCTCAGGTCCCTTTGCTGGGAGATAAACTAGAGAAGCTGCTAAACCCTTAACCAGATCTTTCCTGAGTCTACTGGCATTTTCACCTTCTACCTGGAGTAATGTGTTCTATACCTTTACTCCCATTAATTAAACAGAACTCAAGGCTATTCCTTTGAGTAGTGTTAACTTTTTCAGAATACTTTTAATATCTGTTTTCTGATCATCACACCATTCAGAGATGGGCAGGATACATATTTTTACTCTTGTCTTATATATTAATGATTACATAAATGTATATATAAAGCCAGAATGATGAACTGACCTGCCAGAAGGAAAGTTAGTGACCTTCTCTCTTGATGCCAAGGCACCTGCAGTTTCCACCACACTGTGGCATTTCTCTCTGATTTGACCTTTTCTTTCACCTGGAGGTTCCATGCCTGCCCCAGTTCTAATATTCTAGAATGTGGTTACTAACCAAAACCAGAGTTCTTTTGTCCATACTTGTCTTGTCCCTAAGAACTGGGTTGGCCACTTTTCTTGAAGGAATTGATTCTAGTGTATCATGTCCTTGGCCTCAGGTACTAGTGAGGGATGAATCAGGTAAGGAAGAAAGTGCATTTCCAGGATCCTAGTGTGGCACCATCGGGTCCTGATAAGAATGTTTGTGCAGAAAGAAGGTTCTTAGCCTCAGCCTAGAAGCTAGCAACTGTAAGTGGAAGGACCAGGGTGATGGAGTGGGAAGATATTGGGTTAAATCTGGCCCCTACCACATACTGGCTGTAGTATTTTAGGCAAGGTTTCCTCATTCATCACAGGAGACTCATACCTACCTCACAGACTGGAGAATTTGATGAAATCATATATGTACACGCACCCAGCACAGTGGCTGGCCTGAAGTAGGTCCTTAACAGTTTTTTGGAAATTTGAACCTGAAGAGAGCTTGGCTGATTTGACGTTGGTGATATTAACACTGTGGGAGTGTTAAGAGGCATTGCTAGAAAAAGGATTCTCTGGTCAAATACGTTTAGGAAACTCTGGATTAAACAGGCTTCTCTCTGTTAGGAGTCTGAGAGCCTTTAGTCTGTGCTTGTGCTTTGTAACTCTCTAGCCAGGGCTACTGTGGGTGGGGGTGACCAGTTTGTCCAGAGTCCTGATGTTTGAGAAGATATGCCTAATGGTTTTCTAAGGGCAGGTCTGGCTGGAGGCTTCTCTGGACCCCTCTGGCCAAGCTGGTGTGCAGGGCACCCTGTAGAGGTGTATGGGGCATGGCCCAAGGGACTGTCTACAGCAGCCCTGCTTATGCTGTCAGCCTTTCCTCGACAGCCTCTCTCTGAAGGCCTGGCCTCTGATGCCCCTTCTCAGTCCACGGCAAGGGAGAATGGGTTGGGGAGGAACTGGGAATTGGGGAGGGGATACAGTAGAGAGTGAAGGGAGGCAGTAGGTCATCTCTGAGATAGCCAAAATAAAGGAGTTGTCTGTTTGGCATAGGAAGAAGAGGCATAGCGTTGCCCTGTTCTAGGCCCTTTGATAGGGAATTAAAGTTCATCTAGTGCAGATCCTTTATTTGAGGAAGGAATTTGGAGGAGGAAACTAAGACCCAGAAGTTAAGTGGCCTGTCCAGGGTCACAAGGTAGGGCCAGAAGTCCTACCGTGAGCATTTACTTCTACATAAGTCTTTTGAAGGCTTCTGACATTCAGAAAGGAAGGCTACTGATGTGTGGGAGAGAGTACCAAGGGGACCTGCAGGTGGTTGGATCCCAGGGGAGACAACCTGTTTATTGCTGAAAACCCCTACCCCCACTCCTATATCTGCCTCATCCTCAGGCAGATGCACGAAATCTAGATGCAGTGGTCTATTACTTTGTGGTGAGAATGTAGAGAGATGGAGGGATCAGATTTGGGGAATTATCACTTGTAATAGGGGCTTCTCCATTTATCAGGTTTTTGGCTTGGGCAATATACCTAAGCGTTCTGGGCCTCAATTTCCTCTTCTGTAAAAGAGGATAATAGAAGTAGCCAATCTGAGAGGGTTGTTTTGAGGATTAAATGTGTTTAAAACAGTGCCTGGCACAGAATAAGCATTGATTTAAAAAAATTTCATCTTTCATTTCATGACTGACACTGAGAACAATGAAGGAAGGGAGCTGGGAATGGGGGAAAGTTGGGCACATCTGCAGGAAGCCAGGGAACTACCCCGCTGTAAGAGTTTAGCTTTTAGCAGAAACAAAACAAGGTATACTCAGGCAGGGATATGGCCTGTTTCTTGTTTCTTCTTTCTTAAATCCATAGCTCACAGCTCACAGCTCAAGGCCTAGGACACACTGATACCCAATAAATGTTTGCTGCCTACCTACAGCTGCCTGAGGCTGAGCATTCTAACCTTTCCAGAAGCACAGTGGGTCCCTCGCATGTCCAAGTGCTGATGAGAAAGTCAAGTGCAGTTCCCTATCACTGGAAAAACCCAAAGGCTGAGAGCACAGAGATGAGAAGGGGGCGGGTTACCCCTGAGGAGAGAAAGTAGGTATCCCATATTCCCCTGAGTGCTGCCTGTCAGAAGCCGCTAAGGAGAAGTTGTTTAACCTTAACCAATAAACCAAATCCAGGGCCGAGCCCGTGGTGCACTCAGGAGAGTGCAGCGCTGGGAGCGCAGCAGAGCTCCTGCCACGGGTTCGGATCCTATATAGGGATGGCCGGTGCGCTCACTGTCTGAGCGCAGTGCGGCCAGTCTAAAAGGAAAAAAAAAAAAAAAAAAAAAAAAAATCCATTGCAATAAACTCAAAACAAAGTTGAGCCTCTGGACCTGCTCTGCCTCCATTCCCCTCGACTGGTGGTAGGAGTGTAGGACAAGGAGCAGGGGACACGGGGACGGGTCAAGCCATGTACCTCACATTCCCTCTGATCCTGTCATTGCCACTGAGGCCAAGCTCTAGGCTTTTTCTAGTCCCACTGCCCCAGCCTGGGGAATAGTTCAGCTGTGCTGCTTCTCTCCTGGTTCTGCTTTTTGTGTATATTTGCAGGGAAGATGTTAACACTTCCTAACAAGCCTTTGTGTTCATCTAATCTCTACTGTTTAACCTTTGACTCTCCCCTATTATCAGTGTCTGCCACCTTTGCTGGCCAGACCAAGGGCTCCAAGAAGAGCCCGCAGCCTGGGCTGGCTAGGAAGAGGATGAGGCAGGCATTCCACCTGGGCTGCAGGCAGATGGATCGCCTTTCCCTGGGGCAGAGCTTTGGAAAATAAAACAACTTGCAGTGCCATTAGGATCCCCCAACCCCCACTCCTTTTGAACTGTCAGCCTTTATGTAAACATTCTTTTCCTACCATAGGTCCCAGTACCTTGGTGGGGAGTGGGGAACCTGGGAGGAGAGGGGCCCTGAGAGCCTCTGCTGAACTGAGGGATTTGGGCTGGGAGGACGGGGGCAGAGTGCTGCATTGATGTCAACTCTCTGAGTCCCCAGGGCATCGGGGCTTTTGAAGTGGACTTGGGGTAGCTGTCACCACAGGACCAGGCCCCTCTGATGTATTAAAAGCCCCATCTTCTCCAGGCCCCTCACTTGAGTTGTTTGTACCTGCCTGAGGCATTTTCCTTCATAGCCCACACAACCTCTGCAGCAGAAAGTGATGCTCTGCCCAGGTGACAGGTCTGGCAGCCCCTGGCCAGAGCCCAGGCCTCACTTCCACCAAGGAAATGCCAAATGTTAGAGACCAGGAGGCTATTCTTTATGCTCTGGTGTAATAAGCATCAACCAGGAGCAAGGAACTTTTAATCAAGACTCCCAACTCCAGTGATAATTGGCTGTGAAAGCAGGCAAGACATTTCATCTCTCTAAGCCTGAATTTCCTCTTTGATAAAAGGGGTCAAATTTCCTGCAAAACAAAGTCCAGTTATATACATTACAGGCTGGGTATTGCTGGTTTTTGTTTTGTTTTTAACTAAAAGAGATCATTAATCTCTGGACTGGTACCTGCAGATGATAGGGAACACGTGTGGTGTGTGAAAATGGAGGAGTGGGGTCTTGAGACCAGAAATGGAGTCCAGAGCCCCAGAGATCCAGCTTTCCAGCTTCTGTGATGAGTCACATGGTTTGTCCTCTCAGTGAGATTTCTCCTGTGGATGTACTTTTCTCTCTGGCCTACAAGGAGAGTCAGGATAATAAAGCCTTGAAAGACCCCAAAAGATGAAAAAGTTGCTGAGGTCTTCAGTAGAAGTGCCATGTCAATAGCAACTAGGGCCCCAGCTTTGGAGGACAATCCTAGATGTCCTTATTCTGTCTCTTGCTAGAACACGTGTCCCATTTTCTGGTGTCCTCATGAGGCTTTGAGTGCAGAGGAGGCCCAAGCTGCCTGAATTATTTGTGTATTTCACAAGGCTTCTTCTGCCTGTCTTTGGGAGTCCCAACCCTGAAGTGTGAGTCACTCTAACCCCTGATCTAATCACGGAATTATGACTGGTTGTGCTTCCACCGTTAGACTGGCCATAAGGCTTGCATCCTTTTCTTTCCAGGGCCACTGAGCTCTAAAATGCTGGTGTTCTAACTGGTTTCCCTTCTTCCTCTCTGGTGGTGTGGGAGAACTGTGTAGAAGCTTGGCAGTAGAGGGCATAATGCCCAACTGTTGGGGTCACCTTGCTGGGTGCCTCAATGGCCTCTGTGTCCCCACAGGTACTACAAGAAGTTCTCCATTCCTGACCTAGACAGATACCAGCTACCTCTGGATGATTCCTTGCTGAGCTTTGCTCATGCCAACTGTACCCTGATAATCTCTGTAAGATTCACCCAGACTTGTTGGCCACTGCATCAGGGGTAGCTTCCTTTTTTCCTGCCCACATCCCATCCCATAGGAGTCCCCAGTCCTGGCCCCTACCCCTGAGGTGTGCTTGCTAGAGAATAGGCATATCTAATTCAGCAAGGGGGAGAGCAGGGTGGGGGCTCAGGCAGGAGCCTGATTATATAATTCGCAGCTGGAAGAAGGTAGAGGATGATGGGGAAGAAGTAGAAATCACAGGACTTGGGTTCTGATCCAAAGTCTGCTCTCACCCAGCCATGTGACCTTGAGCAAGTCATTCAACCCGCAGGCCTCAATTTCCTCATGTGCAAATAAGGGGATCAAAAGGGGCCCCAAGTGTGAGTGTGTGGAGGGAGGGGGCAGTGACTGAATTATGTCCCCTTCCTGGCTCTATCCACAGTACCAGAAGCCAAAAGAGGTTGTGGTGGCCGAATCAGAGCTACAGAAGGAGCTAAAGAAGGTAAAGACTGCCCACAGCAGTGATGGAGACTGCAAGACCCAGTAGTTGGCCCCTGAGCCTTGCACCTCCACCATGGAGAGTGCTGTGAGACTTCAAGACTTGGTCCTTTCTGGCACAAGGCAGCCTGCTCTCTCTATAAGAACTAGACCGTGGAGCACTCCTAGTCCCTGTGTCCTGATCTTCTTTCCTGAGTAAAGTCATTGAGTTCCTGCACATGGACTGCTCTCTTGTCTACTGTATGCTGCCTGCTCCCAGGCCCCATTGGCCTTCCTAGGGAGGGTGCTGGTATGACATTCCCTCCTCCTCACTCCTGAGGACCTTTGATATAAAGCCTTCCCCAGAAAGGGAGAAGAGGATAGGAGCATGTGATCCTGGCAGGGCAGGGCTAGGCATCTCCCCCAACCTGTTTGCATAAACCCAGAGGAAGACTAGGCCAGAAGGGACCCTGTGCTACCTTAGCTTCTTGCAGAAGTGGTTCAGAGGAAACTCCCTAAGATAAGTGTGGGCAAGTGAGAACTTTTAAAAATGCAGAAACATTGGAAATAGAATGCAGGATGGTAAGACATTGTGGGGGCCAAGCCAAAGAAGAGTCACAGTGTCGAGCAGGGTGGGTGTGTGTTGGGGTAGAGTGAAGAAGGATCACCACAGATGATAGCAGCCGAGCTCCCCAGCAGCCTGGAGCCCTTCCACAGACCCTGCTCCATACCCCGTAGGTACACCCATCCCATCACCAAGGCTAAAGGGGTGGGTGATCAATGGAAGGTTCTCCCAAAGAAAAGAAACCTTGTTCTTTGGGACACAGAGCCATGAGGCTGGTCTTGTCCTTTCCTCGGCATACACATCCCTGAATCTGTTGTTCCCTCTCCCTGAGGCCTCCCAGAACTGCCTGACAAGTGAAGAACTAGATCTGTAAACAATCAAACTTTACTTTTACAAAAATGAAAATTGCAGTATGTTTCAGCAGCCAGCCTGAGGTAGGGCTGGCTCAGAACTCACTCAAAACTCATGGGTTCCCTTTTGTCCTTTCTTGGTTTCAAAGTGAAACTAGGCCACAGTGCCCTGGGAATGAACCCTCAGCCCCAAGAGGTTGGTCAAGGGTGGGGTCTGACTGAGGGAGGTGGCTGGTGCCAGCAGGGGTATTGGCGGCCTTACCTCTCCTTCCAGAGAAGGGGCAGAAAGGGACCAACTGGGAAGGTGGGAACACCTCACCTCACTCTATAGGCTATCATGGCTCTAACAGAGAGTTGGGGGCAGGCTGGGCCTCTCCAGGCCAGATCCTTGCTCTGGCCAAACAGGAACGCACGGCCTGGGTTTAGCTGTGCTCTCTTAAAGCAGCAGGTCGTGTCTCTCCAGCAGGCTCCTGGAAGGGACTGCATCTCTGGGTAAACCCCAAAACCCCAGGAATCAGTGGCCTCTAGCTTAAGCTGCCCAAGCACTGTGGTCACGAGTCCAGGAGCACAGGGGGCAACTGGAGTGGAGGAATCACCACACCCTCTGGGCAAGAGAGGTCCCTGAGTAGCTGATTTTCCTGGCCCACAGGCAGGGGTGGCCCTGTCACAAGTTTTCAAAGTCCAGGACGTGAAGGTTGTAAGACAATGCAGCATAGAGATGCTTGGTGGTAAAACGCAGGCAGTACACAGGACTGCTGAGGGGGGTTGATGTCAGTGGGAAGGCCTGGAAAGGAGGGCACAAGAAGTGGTAAGAGCTTTCCAAGTGGGAAACAGGGGTGCCCTAACCCAGGATCCCCAGGCCCAAGAAACAGGGACATGTGCCACTGAAGGCTTCGTGCAGCCCATAATGAGTCCTGGCATGCTGAGGTGTGAGGTAGGCAGAACACTTACATGCAGGCAGGCCCTTTGGCGCCGATCCCACAGCCTCACAACACCATAGTAAGAGGAACCTGTGGCCAGGAGGTGGTTGCCATCTGTCTGCAGGCAGTACAGGGTGCTGTCATGGGGCTCCTCCCACTCCATGACACATTTCCTGTCCAGGCAGAGGAGATGCAGGGGAGGTTCAGGGTCCCCTCCACCTCCGCCCTAGCTTCCTCAGGGGACTAGAGGAACTGAGGGAAGGGTTAGGGAGCCATTCTGGGCTGGGAGAGAAAAGCCTGAATCACCATTTTTTTTTTGGCAGCTGGACGGTATGGGGATCTGAACCTTTGACCCTGATGTTACAAGGCTATGCTCTAACCAACTGAGTAACTGGCCATCCTCCTTTTTTAATAGGTGGCTTCTTTCATTGTTTGTTACCTTATTTATTTATGTAGCTGGCTGGTACAGGGATCCGAATCACCAGATTATTATTTTTTTTGGTGGCTAGCCAGTACAGGGATCTGAATCCCTGAACTTGGTGTTATGAGGCCATGCTCTAACCAGCTGAGCTAACCAGCCAGCCCAATCACCAGATTCTTTAAAAACCAAATTTAATGGGAGAAGGCATCCTCTGTAAAGGACTCTCTCCAAGCCCCAGAGCACAGAACAGATTATACCTTCATTGGTATTTTCACATGGTTGGTTACTTGCCATACGACTTGAGGGGGAGAAATAATAAAGGCCTCAAGAAAGGCTGGGACAGATTGCTGTGGGACAGTACCCTGACAGCCCCAGAGGCCCAGAGAAATACCTGCTCTTATCAGCACCTGTTGGCTACACTCTCCCAGCCCACAGGGACCAGGGCTGCCGAAGGGTAGGGAGTCAAAGCTTGATATGACCTTGCCGCCCCTTTCTTCCCAGCCCGACTAGAGTCTCTGTACCCTCTCCCATTGGCTGACCCAGAACAGGAGGGAATACTGGGAATAGGATGGGGCTCCCACCACCTGTCCTCCCCACCCTGCACTCACCGGACACTGGTGCGGAGGTCCCAGTAGCGAACGTAGGTGTCATAGCCACAGGACAGCAGTGTGGAAGGGGACTCATACATTACATCCAGCACCCCAGCTCCTGGGGGAAAGTCACTGCCCAGGTGTGTCATCAGCTGCCCACTGGGGAGAGGAAGGGCAGAGGGTTAAAGGCTACCTCACCTTGGCCCCTATACATTCTTTTAACCTTCAGTGGCATCAGACCTTAGGGAATGCAGCTCTCCTTCCTCAGCTAGAATTAGACTCCCTGAGGAAGGGAGCTGAGGGAGGAGGAGCCCTAGACTCCTACCCCTCTCATCCCAGCCATGAGGCCTCTCCAACCACGACCAGCCCCCCTCTCCTCCCAGTGTCCCAGCCCCCAGCTAAAGGCCTCAGTCAGATGCCAGCAGCCCCTCCATCACACCTGCATGCCGCCCAGCCACTCCTTCCTTCTCAAGACAATGAATGGGCCTTGCTGAAGGGATTGGACACAGACACACACACGCAGACACACACACACACACATATACACTGTTACTTTATACTCCTTGATCCTGCAGGTCATGCAGTTCTGAGCTGCCTGAGCCCAATGCCTTAATTCCTGCCTGTAATCTGGAGCTCAAACCTCATTGGGGATAAAGACCACACAAAGGGAGAAGGGGAGTCCCAGGAGATGTTAAAACAAGTAAACACCTTTGTGTCTGGGGAGAGAAATCGCTGAGAAAGCAGCTTAGCGGGCTGGTCCCTGGTGTTCCTGGCCCTGTTGGCCCCCAGCCCGGGGCTAGCACGCCTCTGTGATCACAGCCCCCAGCCTGCTGGGCTCCAGCCTGCTCCCCCCACCCTCACCCCACCCGGTGGCCAAGAGCAGATTACTGAGAAGAACAATTTCTTTGTGGCTGTGTAATTCCCTCCGTGACCGCGGCAGTGGGCAGACCCCCTGCCCCGATGCCAGACCCCTAGCAACCACGTAGGGGGGCCTCCTGACCCTAGCAACTACCCCTCAACATCAAGTGCACCCGCTAATCCCTGTGGCTAAGGGATGGAAGGAAGTATTGAGTTTCTACAGAATGACTGGGGGGAATGAAGGAGAAGGGGCACCCTCCGGACCTGATGCCTCAGCTTCCTTCACCCATGAGTTGCTGGGCTCTCTTCCCATGGCATGACAGGAGAAACAAGGCCATGGACACTTCAAAGGGACACCAAGGTAAGAGGCCCTGGCATAGGGTGGAGAGGACTTCACGGCCCCACCAGCCCAAGCTTTGGTCCAAGCAGCATTTCATCAGCAAAGGGCTTGAGACAGACAAGGCTCCAGTCCTTCCACCTCACTCAGATTCTGATCCTCAAGCTCCCTTCTCCCCAGCAGAGCCACCGTCTTCGCTTCAGGCTGAATGAAGGAATCAAAGAAGGAGGCTAGAGGTTCCTTTCCACCCACTCTGCCTTTCCCTTTGAGCCCTGGGCAGTGAGCCCCAGCAAGGAGCACAGCTGTGGTCCAGTGGGAGGTTAGTCCCCAAGTCAGCATCCCTGCCCCCAGCCTCCTCTCCAGGGAAGTTCTTGCCTTCCTCCCAGTGGCCCAGTGGTGGGCTGGGGAAGAAGATGACAAGCCTCTGTCTGTTAGGGGGCTCCTGAGAGGGATCAGGCAGAAGGCTTTCTCCCCAGATCAGTGTCCCCTAGAGACCACTGACCACAGCTCTGAGAGGAGCCCTCCTTCCCAGATTGGCCACCAGCCATGATTCAGCCACCCTGCCCAAGGCCTGTAGGGATGTCAGTCTCTCTTTTTCACAGGTATACATGTCATTTGTGTACACTGGGTAAGGGCTATTTTTCCTCCTTCTTCCAGATTTGGGGGCCCTGCCCCCCTCCATTAGTGAGGACTTAAGGGATGATTGAGGAGCCTTCCCCTTTAATCTATAGAAGTAATTTCATGTTTGTTTGAAATAGAAGATGAAAGGCAGTGGGGGGTTGGGGAGAGTGACGCCCAGCATGGCTCTACCTGCCCACCCCTGGTTCCAAGGTTCAGCAAGAAGGAGAACTGGGCACCCATGGAGCTGGGCAGGGACAGCAGCATAAGGGGCACACCCAGACTGAGCTGCCAACCTGGGCTCCTTCCCCAGCATCCAAGCCACCACTGGAAAATGCCATGGCCATAAGTATCTGCAATAAGAAATACAGAACAGCCCCAGGGGCCCCTACCCTGTGGGAGAGACCCAAGGACCCAGTGAGCACCACCTCTTGGGAGCCACAGCAAGTCCTGCCAGCCCAGCCTGGCCAGGGGTGAAGGAGTTCCTCTCTGCTGTGCTGTTCTCTGAAATGGCCACACACACTTTAAATGGGCCAATAAAAAGATACAATTTATTTTGCCTCTGGAACCAGGACCCTCAAGGCTCTGTTGTGTAGTGCCTGTGAGGTTAAGTTCAGAGCATAAACTGACACACCAGGCTCTGGGAAATGGCCCTTCTCTTCAAATAGCGGCCCAGCGGTGCCATAGGAGCCCTGCTGGGGCTTTGATTTGGGAAAACAAACAGAAATGGCACCATGGGCCCTTCGCAGGCCCCCACTCCAGGCCCAATTTAACTAAAAACCTCTAGCTCAACTGGTCTGGTGGAGGGAGAGATTGGCCCAACAATAGGCCCAAACTTTGGGGGCATGGGGGACAGAACAAGCTGTCTGTCTCCTCAAACCCTCCTCCTGGGCTCCTTTTCTTACTGCAAGTGTGTTCTTGTAAAAACGATTAGATTGCAATTTGTATAACATGGTGACCCCCAAATTCAGACGTTTCACCCCTTTTCTCTGGAAAGAATGTTAAGAATGCTTCTCGGCCTCTCTCTGTGGGGGGTAAGAGGAGGGTGCAGAGCCTTGGCTGTCGCACAACTTGTGTGGGAACGGGGCTGCCACTCAGAGCCCTGGGCCAAGACAGGAGCAAGGGCCAGGTCTGTCAATATAGAGGGCCAGACAAAAAGTCCATTCCCTTCTAACTCCTGTGGACAAAGCCCAAGCCTCCAGGAGCCGCTGAGAGCTGGGGGGCCTCCACACACCCCAGCCTCCCCCAAGCCTGACTCCAGCAATTCTGTCTCAACCCAGGGAAAGATAAAGACAGATGGGGCTGCCTGTGTGAGTCTGATGAATGAGAGGCAGGCTAGGAAGGGGCCCTGGCTGTGTGCAGGCTTCTCCTGGGAGGCCCTGGTACCTGAGCAGAAAAGAGCAGAGTGGGGCCATATCCCTGAGTGGCCCCTTGAAAAGAGAATCTGGTCCCCCTGGCCCAACCTACCCTGCCGCCCAGAGGATTCTACTGCAGCTGGAGGGAGAAGAGAGAGGAACTTCCTTCCAGTCAGGGAGGAGGGAAATTTAAATAAACCCTGACAGACCCCCATCACCATCTTTGTGGGAACAACTAACTGCAGGTAGGTGCTGGCTATGAAGACCTGGATGACCCATCTGGGAGAGGCCCTGAATGCCAAGCTACAGTCAGGCCCAGAGGGGCAGTCCCTGGCAGCCCACCCCTGCCCTCCAAGCCTGGTGCCCACTTCCCTCCTCTCGCAGCCTCCACATGCCTCCCCCAGCTTGTATTAGAGTGTTCCCGAGACACCACTGGCTCCTGCCTCCCAGCCCACATTTCAGGATGCCTGTGGTTCCCACACCATTTTCTGGCCATTTTTAGTGTACTGGGTTCCTGATGATGCTCCTGGAGACCCTATGGGTGCTCATTCCTGCATCTGTTTGAGTTCTACCTGTCTGGCATATACTACCCTGAAATGCAACAATGGCTTTTGGGGAGAAAAGGATGGAAAGGTGACAAACAGCTTGTCTTCTTACATCTCTGCTCCCTGGGTGACAGATGTCCTGAAGTTATAAGCTGGGCCCAACATGATCTCTAAGAGAATGAGGGGTTTTTCCTCCTTTCCTTCCACCCCCTCCTTCCCTCTCTTCCTTCCATCAACCCTCAATCGAGCACTTTCTGTATATTAGTCATTGTGCTTAATAGAAACTACAGGGAGATGTGAGCTGTGACAGTGAAAGAAACATTGTCCCTGCCTTCAAGGAGTTTTCAATCCAGCGAGGGAGAGAAAGTCTGAATCATGTATCCAACTAACAATACAAAATGTGACTTGATGGGTACCATACAGAGATAAAGGAAAGTTCTATGAGGGGACAGATAAGAAACGACATTTCTGGCTGGGGGTATTGACTAACTCTCCAGTGAGTGACAGGCAATGACAGAAGAGGGGGCTGGCTTAGGCAGAAGTCATAGCAACAACAAAGGTGCAGAGCTAAGGCTACCAGGCTGTGTTCTGGCTTTGAGGTGTGAGGGAACAAGTGTCAGGACCTGCAGACCATGGCGGGCCTCAGGGTGTACAATCCTCACCTGGCACGGACTCCTTGAGTGGCACGTGGCAGCGAGGCTCTTGAGCAGGGAGTGATTTTCCTAGCCTAGCCCCCTGACTGCAGATAAGGAAGCCAAGGGCCACAGAGGAAAAGTGACTTTCTTAACATCACATAGCAAAAAAGGGCAGAGCCTGGATCCATGATAAGCGCTGGGCTTCTAGAAAACCAGTCTGGTAGTGGCATTCAGACTGACAGGCACATAGGGAAGTAACCTGAAGGGTCTGTTTTATGTGTCTGCTGGGGCCAGATGAGACTGCTGTGCAGGTTACTGGGGGAAGAGTAGCTGCCGCCACAGCAGCTCACATATATTGAGTCTATACCATGTGCCAGCCACTGTGCTGAGTGCTTTACACATATCAGCTCATTTAATCCTCATAACAGACCCATGAGGTAAGTTTCTCAGCCCCATTTTACAGATGAGAAAACTAAGGTTTAGAGGTTGCACTCCTCTTAAGTGTTAAAGTCAGATGTGTATGCTCCAGAGTACACACTCTTGTGGTGGCACTCCTGGCCTTTACAGACAACACAGCTACTAGGGGACAGATAGGCCCCAAATGTAACAGAGGAATGGAGATGAGGAGAAGCCCATGGAAGCTTCTCTTGTCTCAGCGCCATTAGGTGAGAGGGCCCTTCCCAAACACACAGCCTCTCACATGCATGTGTGTGTACACGTACACAACCCCCAGCACCCGCCCTCGCACACGTGTTCAGACACAATGGCTCAAAGGCCAAGCAGCCGGGCAGCCCACTTTGTACTGCTAACAAGGGGACCGTAATTACAGGAAGGGGCAGCCGGGCAGATAAAAGGATACAAAATTTCAACATCTGTTGCCATAAAGGGATAAGGAGAAGTGAGAGGCAAAGTATCAGTTTGGTGTCAGCAGGCAGAGAGCCAATTTCAAAGAGTTCAGTGGGACAGAGGGGACAAGAAAGAAAAAGGAAAGGGGGGAGAAAGAAAGAAAAAGAAATTACAGGGTTCCTTAAAGAGGTAAAGAAAAAAGAGAATGAAAAAAGCTGTCAGTAATACTTTCAAAGGACAAGGCAGGTACATTAAAGAGGGGCAATTCCTGTAATCACCCTGACTGAGGGCCAGGCCTCCTGCATGGGGGGGTGGGGGGGCAGAGGGCCAGGGGCAGAGACAAAGCCACACCTGGGTGGGATGGGCACTAATGGTGCCCTCACAGTGGCCCAGCCTGCACTCAGGACACCATTGCCTTCTCCAGATAGTTAAAAAGGGCTCTAGCCAGATGCCCCTTGCCATTCCAAATACCATTAAATGCCCTAACATTTATATCCTGTACTCAGTGCAGGAATACCAAGATAAGTTCCCAGCTCAGAGGGGGAGCTATACCAGTCCACACCTGCGGCTGACCAGGTGGCCCTTATGAGTGCTCTAACACAGTATTCAGTGGGAAGGGCCACCAACTCCAGCCACATGGATCAGGATCAGGGAGGGATTCATGGTGGAGGTGCTGTTTATGCTGAAAAGTGGGCAGAGTTTCATTAGGCAGAGATGGGGTATACCAGGCATGGTGTTGTCTTAAGCAAAGGCTCAGTGGAGAAAAATATAGGGCACCTGTCAGAATGGGTGAGAAACCTATCCTGCACCTGCCTTTGCTGAAAAAGCAGAAACTTAGGGGCTTTGAGAGAAATGGAGGTGTAATGGGGAATTGGGGATAACCCTGGTCCCAAGGGGAAGGGGAGATAAAGGGATTTGTGCAGGGGCATGCACATGGTCACATATACAAGGCAGCACAGTGCCTCAATGCCCTAGGAGCAGCCAGGTCACCAAAGCACCCCCTACTCCCTTCTCTACCCCAGTCCCCAGGATGGCTTAAGGCTGTGGCTGGACCCGCTGTGACACGTTCAGGTATGGAATCACAGGCCTCTCCACCCTGGAGCCCACCTGCCCACAGCCACCAGGGGCCCTAGTTGTGTCCTACTCTCAGGGCACCAAGGCTAGATCCAGCTCAAATGCCCCTGGGCAGGAAAAGTAAAACCCACAGCAAGAGCAAGCCCATGTAGGATGGGGGTGTGTATAGTATCAGGGCAGTTAGACCCACCTGAGCCTTCCAGTGGTTGGGAGGTGTGCCCTACACAGCCAACACTTGGCACCTTCACTAGGGCCTAGCCAAGGGCCCTGCTAAAATGCAGGGAGAGAACACAGGATGAGCCTTGATTCCCCCAGACCCTAGGCTCAGGAGCAGGATGACTTTGGCATGGTTCCTTGGGGCCTGACAGGACAACAGGGCCTAGCTAGGAATACTTCAGTGGTAGGCTATCAGCAGAGTCTGTCATGATGGAGGTACAGGAGTTCCTGGCACTTGATGTTTGAGGGCCTGATGACCACTAACTGTGGAAGCAGGAATACTCTGGTACTCTGAGGTTGGATGAAAGACTCCATCTTTCTCATTTAGACAGATTAGAGATAATCTGTCCTTGGACCCAAGCCCATGGTGTCCAGCTCCAGGAGAGAGGAAGGAAGGGAGGAAGGGAGTAAGGGAGAGGGAGACAGCCAAGCTCCTTGCCTCCTAGGCAATGGCTGTGTGCCCATGGTAGCCCTCTGACCTGTGTGCTCCAGCCAGCACCTCCCCTCTACTGCCACCCCAGCCTAGCCCATAAGGAGAACAGGGTCTCTAGAGGTCTTGATGATGAGGTGCTGAGGGAACCACGGTGAACCTGAAAGGGCTCCCCAGGCATTCTGAGAAGTAGTGTAGGCTGCCTGAGGGCAGGTGTCTGAGAGACACACAGACAGACATGAGGATGGCTCCACCGATGACAGGAGCACTGGTGCCCAGTGGGGAGCCTACACATCCAAGTGTGTCCCAGTCCCCACCATCATCCTGGGAGCACCCCCGGAGGAGTGATACCAGAGCAAAACTGTCCCTCCAGAGCTCCCCCTCCACCCAAGTCATAGCACATACATAAAAGAAAAAATCCAGGCGCTCCTCAAGTTTCAGCAGTGACAGGTTGAAAGCAAAGAATCCATCCTGCACTGCACACCGCCCAGTCCTGAGTCCTGCCGGTGATGCTGCTCCCCCTTGCATATTGGCCTGTCAGTCAGGCTTTGGTGTTATTGAAAGATCAAACTCTGTCCTGCCTGTTCATTACCTTAATCCTATTTTCTACATGGCTTTATTATCTGCTTGGGCTTCTCTGGGAAAGACAGCTCCAGAGAGTTGTCCTGTACATCCATTTCCTCCCACCAAAAGCAGATGCCTGCACCTGAGCATCTTTCCTCAATCCCTGTACTGCTTAGTCCTCGAAGCTTTCCTAGGGACAGGACAGATATTTAAACAAGACCTGGCTCCTCCCAGTAGTGACTGGAGAGTCTGGGGGATAGACAGAAGGCAATGCCAAGTGATGCCCAGGGTAGCCCTGCTACAAGCAGTAGAGCCCACAGGCCAGCTAGAGGATGCAGTGGCTGTTTCTCACTGGCTCCAGTGAGAATCAATAGCTGGCTTGTGCCCATTTTCATTTGGGTTCATTCTAGGTTCAGTAAAGACTCAGTGTTTGTGGTTAGTGAAGTCTGGGGATTTCATACAAGAATGGCAAAGAATTGGTGCCTTAGAACTCCATCCTGAATGAACATCTGTGCCCAGGAGTACCCCTCCACCAAGGCAACCACAGGCAGAAGAGGCCACTCAAACATCACCCAACCTTTGAGATGAAGCTGGACCATGGTGGTGCACCCAGATCACCCCCTGCCTTGTGTGTCATCTTGGGCCCAGGCAGGTGATGGTGCCAAGGACAAGACTCAGCTACATGACTAAATAAAACTGACTTTCAGCAGAAATGCCCATCTGTCAAGAGCCTTCTCTGTGCCATGAGGTCAGCAGGTTCACCTCCCCCTCCACTAGTCACAAAGCCACAGACATTTTGAGGATTAAAAGGCTGAGCCTCCGCAAACTCCAAGATACTAGTGTGGAAACAACTGTGGGTGGGGAGGAAGAGAGAAGAGGAGGAGACAGACTGCATTGGATGGATGCCCCCAAAGTGGCAGGCGCTGTGTGGAGCACTTTTCCACGATAATTTTGTTCATACTAGTTCTGTTAGGTAAGGATGATTAATTCCCACCTTACAAGTGTGGAAACTGAAGCCCAGAGAGAACTAGAGTTACGGAGCTAATAAGCAGCAGAGTAACTGTGGAACTCAGGTCTGTCTGCCACACGACCGGTGCTCACTCTGCCTCTCCTCACAGCCTCCAGTCACACATGCGTGGGCAGCTGCCTCCTCCACCAAGGGAGGGGCCCCTCCTGCCCCAGCCCTGTTCAAATGGAAGAAGGGCCAGTGGCAGGAGTTTGGCAGGGTGAGTTTATGGGAACAAGTTTCACAGCCTATAAGAATTCCAACATCCCAGGGGCTGAAGAACAAAGAAGGTTTGGGAAGTTTTAGCTGGGCTGGCAACAGTGTGATGTGACCACTGGCCACATTAACAAAAGTAGATCTAGAACGAGGGAGGTGATAGCACCTGCCACTCATCAGACCACACCTGGTCTGTTCACTACTCATGTATGAACACACCATTTCAAGTGGGATAAAACCAGATGAATTAGAGAAACTTTCAGGTGAGACTGGTCCTAAAACCAGTGTGAGACCAACGACTGTAGGTCACCCATCCAGCCATTCCTCCTCACATTCTTTCTTGTTGACCAAACCCTGATTCTGTGCCACCCCCACCCCTTCCTGCCACTGCCAGTGTGAATGCAGAGAAAGCTGGGCTCTTCCCCAGGCTCAGGAGGGCAATCCTGACTGGCCATTCCTTTCCACAGTCAGGCATTTCTCAGAGAAAAAGTACCATAAATCCAAATTGTTGTTATAAATTCTACATGAAATTATTACCTATTATAAATTACGTCAATAGTCTCTTCAAGCTAACCCCAAATGATTCCATGTGAGAAGGCTCCGCAGCAGAGGCTCACTGTGGGTTGTGGAACAAGGGTCCTTCCCAGCCTTCTCCTGGACCACTGGGCCAACCAAGGCAGGGGTTGGCTCAGCTAGTTCTTTCCTTTGTCTCCCCAGCTGCTCTGCCCCTACCTCCACTTGAAGCCACAGTAGGCTCAGGAAATCTCTTACCTGTTGAGGTCCCAGATTCTCAGGGGTGAGAAGTGCCCACAACAAGCCGTCCCTGTTACAAAAGAGCTGCCAAACAAAAGAAGAGCAGAGTTAGATCTGACTTGTCAGAACTTGTGACGGAAGTGGCTACACAATTGGAAATACCATGCTCATTCTCCAGGGATCGTGAGGTTAAGCCAGAATGAGAGAAGCAGCCAAGAGAGCCATCAAAAGAGTTGTGGGAAGACAATTTGGCAAGGGCTGTAGCCTCCCAGAGCTGCCTGGCCAGAGGACCCAGAGGCTCAACGACGGCTGCTCAGACTGGGTTGCATGGTCTCTGCCCACCATGAAAACACATTTCTAGATGTGCAACTCTTAGTCCAAAGGAGAGCAAACCTGATGGACTTCAGCTGTATGAACCTTGAGAGCACAATGCCATGGCACAGAAAAGGTCTCCTGGGACTAGGTCGTTAGGGGCTGGAAGATCATGTGATGCCCAGGTCAGAGGTAGGAGTGGCTGGGGGGGGCATTACTAAAGATTTTAAGAGTTAGGGGAATCTGGTAATGTGGCAAAAGCACTGGGTAAGTGTAAAGGCACCAAACTGAGAAAAGGAAAAATATGAACGGTGAGCAAGTCCCATGGAAGGTTATATGACATTATATGCTAGTATTCTGCTAATAGGCAGAATCCTCTAAGGAAATGACAGACACTGCCAAGAGGTAGGCAGGAAGCAGCACACTAACCATATTTGCCAGAGTATCTCTTCAACCTATAAAAAAGTCAACATATATAACCTGCATAGTTTCATTTTAAGTGGAAGCACAAGCCTAGTGTGAAGGATCAGTGCAATGAGCCAGGCTGGCTGTAGTGCTAGGACTAGAACTTGAACCTATGAGCCAGATAGCTCCTTTGTTAGAGGATCTGGCAGGGTGGAGAGGGAAAGCCTTCAGGAAACCTGGGCTTGCAATCCTACATAGCAAGCAGGAAAGTTGAAAGCAGCTGTGTCACGCAGGAGCCCTGGGGCAGGGATTGGCCATGTCCCTACATGTCTTGCCTGGGGGTAAAGGAGACTGGACATATTAATGACACATTAAAAATGTGTGGCCCATCTGTCCTGGCCCTGCCCAGCACCTGTGGCTCTCTGATCCCAAGCGTGTCAGTTGGGAGATGGATATCCACAGAGAGGACTCTGAAGAAGCCAGTGGCTTTGGCTAGGATGGGTAGTTGGCCTGCCAGTTGCTGATGGGGAGATATTAGAGCAGGCATTGGCCAAGCCACTGTTTTTCAATCAAAATTGGAGTGCAGGTGTCTGCTTTTCAACCCCAAGCTGATAAAAAAGCCATATGAGCCACCCTGGGGCTCTCATGCCTCAAGCTAAGACTTCCTCCAGGGACATGCCCCATCATCCCAGCTTTCTCTTGACACATGGGATTGCAAGCAGCCACTAAACTACTGAGTGGCAGTGCCAAAACAGCTACTCCTGCCATGCCTCAAGTTACTCCCAGCCTGGGAAACAGCCACTGGACACTGAAGAACCAAACTACAAAGGCAGGAGGTATTGCCCTCACCTCCCTCCCCCCATCATTTTTCTCTTTAGGGTAATCCATTAATAACTGGCAAAGCCAATTACCTTGGGTTGGAAACATAATAGCCACTTGGAAATCATTCGAGCAGGTAATTGGGCTCTCCATATTTTTGAGGAGTGGGGGCCAGGTGAAGGGCGCCAGCACAGACAAACAGACATCTTAAGGAGGCCTGTGGCAGGCTTCTGACTGGCCACAGGCCTAAATTAGCATCAAGGTAAGTCAATAGAGAGAGAGGGGAGGAACCTGGAACTTTAATCCCTGCCACTTCCACAGCTCTGACCTCCCAGCAGGGAGGGTGGGGGTGTGGTGGTGGGGGGGACATAAACACCCTTCCCAGGGACTCCTACCCTCCTCTGTTCCAGCCCACCCATGCCTGGCCCTGACCATCTGCCACCAAGAGGAAAGCTCCTCACCTTCATACCCTATGAAGGGCTTTCTTAATCGCCTGGACATAACACCCATAAATGTTTCTTTCCACAAGCTGCCCTATTCCCTTGCCTAACTAACTACTGTGAAGCAGAGAGGAAGAGAGGGAGGGAAAACAAGGGTGTCTTCCTGGCACTTACGAGGACCTTAGAGTTTAATCAAATTTAACACTCAGTAAAAAACCACCTGAGCAACAGTCAAGCAGATTTTAAGCCAGGTCTTGCTGGGGGAGCACTCACCAGGATTCACATCCAAACCATGGGGGCTGGCTGCAGACACAGTCTGCATACCTCAAACTACTCCCCACTATTTGCAGCCATACTTGCCCCCCATTCCAGTCCCCAGTTCCCACTGTCCTTAGGAAGAATGAGGCAAAACTACAGAACAGCCACATTCAAAATGAGAAGATTTAAAAGAGTGTGCCCAAGTACAGTCTCCCCAGAGTGTCCGACAGACACATGAAGCAGAGGAAGAGAAGGAATTCACCACTCTGGAACACTCAAAGGATAGGTCACATCCCACAATGAGTCCACAAAACAGAAATTATTATTCCCATTGTACAGAAAGGGAAAAAAAATTAAATGACAGCCACACATAGGACCTGTTGTTCACACACTCAGACCCCTCCTTCTAGACTCACCAGATAAGAGTGCTTTGAAAAGTGGTCAGTGGATGGGATTTGAGCATCACAGGCAGCTCTACCATCCTCAGTTCTCTAACCTAACTGTTGGTTGAGTTATACCCAACATCATGCCATGTGCTGATCTCCTGCTGCACCTGTATCAGCCTGATTCTTCATCCAGATCCTACATCCCTCACCATGCTGGGTTTGATGCTAAGCATGTCAAAGTTTCTCAATAAATACTTGGAGAACAACCAAATGAAAGTATGTACCATTCCTTCTATGGCTCCTCCTAGGGGAATACTCTAAGAATTGTCTTCATTAGAAAGCCTTTGCCATAACCTTAATTTAGGGTTTGAAATTACTGAAAAATCAGCTCCCATGAGAAAAGAAAGAAAATTCAAATGGCTTTTGCCCTCAGTCCCACCTCTTTCCTCAGGGATATCCCAGGAACAAGGATGTCAAAACCAAGTTGAACGGCAGAGGCAGAAGCTGGTGGCTCCCCAGATAGGTTGACCATCCCTCCTTTGAGTCCCTAGCATACTCATGGGACAAATGGCATTTTTTGGTGCATCTTCCCATCTCCCCTGTGAGATTATGAACCAGCTGATGGCTCCTGTGTCCTCCAGTGCCTAGCACAGTGCCTGGCCCAGAGAAGGCACTCACACAAACCTGTGCAACTTAACTGAAAGGACTTTCCAGAGCCCACAGCCAACACAGCTGTGGAAGCTAGTCGTGTGGGCTGGAAAGGTGGTCCCTGTGCTTCTGAAAGGAACAATTCTCAGATCACCAAAGACTCACCTGAATGACACATGGCATAGTCATACATTGTTAGGGGGATGAGAAGTCCCTCATAAGCACTACAACCAGATAAGAGATGAGAAGTACCAACAGTACCTAAAAATTAATGTCCAAACACACACACACATACGCACTCTCTCATGCTCATGCACACTCACACAAGTACACACACACTTTCTCTCTTAGCTAGAGGGTCTAAAAGTCATTCTGACTCCATAAACTCCATTCTTTTTGGACCAGAAAGCCCTTACCAGATGTCAGCCTTCTACAATTTCTCATCCTGTCCCAGACCTTGCCCAGACCCTCAACCTACCTTACTTACCCCTTAGTCCTAGCTCAGGCAAACCCGGTGTCACAGAGCCCATCATCAAGCCCAAGAAGTAGACACAGGAGCCCTCACATCGGAGAACACACCAGGAGAATGAGGGGTTCTGTACTCAAGTTGAAGAACAGAAAATAATAAGACATAGAAAGGAGGAGAGGAAGGTGAGAAGGAAAATTAGTTGGGCATGGGCAGGCTGAGAGGAAGGTAGATTCTTGCTGCTTCTGTATTAGTTTAGGCCCTTTTAATAACACTAGTAATTTATTGAGCACTTACTATGTGCCAGGTGCAAGTGTTTCAAAAGCATTATCCCACCTAATCCTTATAACACAATGCAGTAGGTACCACTTTCCCTCTTTTACAGATGAGGAAACTGAGACTCAGAAAGGTAACGTAACTTGCTGTAGCTCACACAGGTAGCAACTAGTAGAACTGAAACTGAAACCCAGTTAGTCATGATTCCAGAACCAAGTTATGACATCACCCCTCACCCTATAAACTCTCATCTTGGCTACATTTCAAGAATTAGTCTTATTTGTTCTCAGCACCTAGTATCATGCCTGACACGTATTGAAAACTTAAATGCTTATTGAATGAATGAATGAATGGCTCAACCTGAAAGAAGAGAAAAGAGACTGAGTAGCTCTGAGGCAGGACAGTAGAAGTGGTGTGCTCAGCAGCTGTGCCCCATGGCTGGCCTTGAGCCGCCCAGCTGGCCCAGGCCCCAGCAGCCTCTGAGCCCAGGCTGACACACTTTGGCAAGGGAGGCCACCAGAGCTGTCACATCATTCACCAACATGCCCATCAAGTGTATTCAGTTCTCTTCAACCCGCATTGGCATTTTAATTACTGTTGGGTAAACTAATTTGTACAAATGAAGGCCAGGCTGCCTAATAGAATATGCAAGCTCTCTGACCTCTGACAGGCACTGACACGAGATACAAAGGCAGCCGAGGAAGGCTTTTTATCTGAGCCTTATTACTCTCTATTACTCCAATTAGTCAGGCTCCAGTGCTCCTAATTGGAGGAAAAATTGCAATTAAATCAATTTTTGATGGGCTGCAAGTGGGCTCCCGAACCGCCCTGCTTGTGAAACACTGATATTATAGCAGCAAAGGTCACAGGCTTCATCGGCACCTGGGGGCCCCCCGATTTCCCTTGAACCCCTCCTTAAATACCTCAAGGAAACCCCTGCCCCTACACTGGCTTGGCCAGCCAGGCTGGGAAGGAGGGAGTCATTAGAACATGTCAGGTCTCATTGCTGCTGCTGCCATCTGCTAACCTCCGCCACTGACATCATTACAGCCAGTAAGTCCCGAAGCATGAATA